CAATGTAATATAATACTAAATAATACAAAAAGACGAATAGCAGAATTAGAAGATAATAACAAACTATTTATACTACAAAATAAACCAAGAACCAAACGTGCACCTTTCGAATTCATGGGCTCATTATATCACTTGCTATTTGGGATAATGGATGCAGACGATCGAGAACAAATGGAAGAAAACATGGTCAGTTTATTAGACAACCAACATAACATAAAAAAATTGAGTGAGAAACAGACATCAATAATAGATTCCACAGCAAATATACTCAAAAGAACCACTGAGGAAATCAATATTCATTTCAATGACATGAATATACGTATAGACAATATGACAGAATTGCTAAAAGAATCGTATTATGTGTATAAGGAAGCAATTAATTTCTTTATGATAACAAATCAATTAAATGCCTTAATTGAAGAATGTGACAAGATTCAAACAGGGGTAATAAATATGCTAATTGATATAAATCATAGCAGATTAAGCCCGGTTATATTGAAGCCTTACCAATTTGGGGAAGAAATAGCCAAGATAAAAGAAAGTTTGTCCGAGAATTTAGTCTTACCAGGGAAAAGGACAGGTACAGAACTAAAAGAAATATATCAATTACTTACAACGAAAGGAACCTTTATAGACAACAAAATAATAGTTAACGCCAAGATTCCGCTATTCAGCAGATACCCATCTCATTTATATAAGGTTATCCCAATACCAGTCTACAATGACGACCAAATGATAATGGTACACCAAAGAACAGAATATTTAGTGTATAACTTCGAAATTGATTCTTACCACTTAATGGCCGAAGCCACATTAAATAAATGCAAAAAATGGCAACCAAACAAGCTCATATGTGAAGGTAACTGGCCCTGGGATAATGCCAACGATAACAGCTGCGAAATATCACCATTCAAGCCAAACCGACCGGCGAACTGTATCTATCAAACATTAGTTCATTCAAAAACATACTGGGTTGAATTGGAAGGTAAAAGTAGGTGGTTATTTAAAGTACCGATTAATGAAAAGCTAAGCGTACGATGCAAGGGAGCACAGCAAGAACTAATAGAATTACCAGAACAGGGTGTGTTGAAAATGAAATCAGATTGCACAGCTCGATCAGGAGATAAGACCATAATAGCTCATAATAATGATATTCACACTGAAAAATACGAGAAAATCGCACCCTCATACGTAGGAAAGATTGTTGACGTTCCAAAAATAGTTTGGAACCCATTAGCACTATCAAGAATAAATCATACGAAAGAAATTGAGCATTTACAAATAGCAATACAGCAAATGAAGGAGAGCCATATAGAATTAAAAGGGCTCCATTTTCATCACATATCAGGTCATGCTTCTATGTTAATAAGTATTTTGATTGCATTAATATTAATCATATATACAATAAGAAAATGTAATGTAAAGAGGCGATTAAAAGCTATAACATTTCCTGGTCCCATATAATTTGAAATATAAAAAATATACAGAAAAATACTCGATAACCTGCGCGTTATCCGACAAAAAAATTTATTCGATAACCTGCGCGTTATCAAACTAATATTAAAATGAAAACAAAAAAGCAAATATATTTTTGGCCCCTCTGGCAGAATGTTTGAAAACATGCGAATACTGGATGACCTGCGAGTCATCGAACAAAAAATAAAAATTTTTACAACCACAACATTTTTGGGCCCCTGGCAGAATGTTCAAACATGAACATACATAATAATAAAAATAGAGACAGTACTCGAATAACCTGCGCGTTATCCGACACAAAGTAATAAATATGTCATCCCTTAGTTGCAGCGACCAATGCAGCGTCTAATATATGTAAATGTAACGTGAGCCTGGGCCCAAAGATTCAAAAAAAAGGGACACTTAAGTAAACATCTGGGCACTTGTTTGTGTGAGAAAATGCACCCTTCCAGTGACTGGAAGTAGTTTTAAGAGTCTCTGTTAGGTATATAAGAACTAGGATTTTAAGCAATAAGGAGTTCAGTTAAGATCTTGAATTCGGCAAATGTGGAGTGTTTTTCATTTTAACGCTCTAACAGCTTTAGACTAGAAACAGTAATTCAATAGTCTTTCAACTGTAAAATTTAATTACGTTAGATAAAATACATTAAATATAAAGGCTTAGTAGAGTTAAGCATTCGCTTACAAAACTTCATTTTGAAATTCTAATATAATAAATCAAAATTAGATAGAAAACTAATTAAATTATTAAATTATTATTTTGATTAAATCCCATGCCAAGCGAAGCACTTATCGTTTAAACAGGCGGATGAATGGAAAGCAAAACGGACATACATATATATAAATTTCATATTTCATCTTAATTATTTATTCATTTTTGCCTCTTATATGGCCTCCATTCCACATATATATTAAACCAATGCAATTTACCTGGCTTTAGTTTCTTTTTGCATATTCCCTAAATAACACAAAACAATTGTGTGCCAGCAGGAGTATTTGATATTATTCTACCTTGTATGCAATTTTAGTTGATTGTGGATTATATTATTGACACGCAGCCTGCAATGCGCTTTTGGCAATTGTCCAAAATATTGTAAATAAATTCTAGCATAAGCACAACGGCCATCGATGGCGACCCAAAATGTGTGTTTGTGTGTATGTGTGCGGCTCATTAAATATGTATTAATGTACAAATTAACAATTGATATGCCACAAATTGCCAAGCGTAAAAGTTTTTGCCATTGGCCTGCCATGAAATATTCATTCGATGCGTGCCAAAGTCAAAGAGACAAGTGAATTGTTATCCATATCAAATGTCATTTGATCCCTGACTCCAAATGTTGTCAATGTTGCATGAATTATACATTTCCCTGGTCCCGTGCATGTTCTATCCAAATGAAACCATATCCGAATGCTGTCATTCTTCGTAATTAGACAGTTTGACAGGTCAGCTAGTTTGACGCAGGCAGCATACGGGCTTCTAGCAATGCATTCCATATACAGCAAAAGTTCACATTGGAATGTTCAGGCAATGGTGTATTTTCATGCAATTTAATTAGCGCTTGATAGACAGTCAGTCAAATAAATGAAAGGAAATCTAAGAAAGTCCTAATTTTGGATACTCTCTACTAGGAAATATCCTGAATTTTCAGAGCTCCATGACTTGTATTACTCGATCGAAGATAGATATAAATAAGATATAATATATATATAATTTGGTAAAAATGCAATATACTTCACAGCTTGGCGACTGAGAATAGAGAAACTTTAATAGATATCTAAAATACATATAATAAACATCAACAATCAATACTCACAATAGGATGATGTCTCATAGACCGATCCTTAAATGATGGCTGCTCCCGTCTAGAGCCCTTAATTAAAATTTAGTCAGCGCACAAAGTCCACCAGAATAAACTCTTGACCATAACCCTATGGAGCATACTCACAACATTCGACATAGCATATTCAAAGATAGTTGGTTTTTGATAAACACAAGCTAATTTTAAAAAAGTGGCACACAAATAGCCAGTAATATTGTTTATTTAGCTCGAATATTTCCAGTATAAAAACCATAAGCCTGTCATAAAGTTGCAGTTGAATAAAATTTTACGAACGGTGCCACAAAGCTGAAGCCGCAACGTAATGGCGGTTAATAACTGAGCAAACAAGCATTGTATTGCCTACGAGCTAGATCGACTCTTTCGATTTAGTAACTAATGTTACTTTGGAGACCGGGAACGGAATTCAGAAAGAATTCAAAAAGACTATGGCAGATGCTTTCACCATGATCACTCGATGCTTGCCTTCGGCTTTTTCTGCTTTGCCGTATATACAGTAATCAAACGTATTGCGGATCTGCAGACGCCATTCACTTTGCAGCTCTATCGAACAATAAGACTGCTGACGGGACATGCTATAACTTCCCGTATGCTCTGTCGCCTGAGATTACCCGAAAAGATACTAGAGGTCGAGGTCCATATGGTGGTGATTGTGAGCCTAATTATCAGTACTTTGACAACAGTTCTTATAGCACGTTTGCATCAGGCCGACATTGTGGACGCCGAAAAATTTTTGGTCAGTGGACTTCGCATCATGGCATATCCTGAGCAGCTGGACAACCTATTTTACCTTATTCCTCGGAATCTCGAAGAACGCGTTGACTTGGTGGATCCGCAAATATGGGCACAGAATATTAACAGCCTCAACGACAGCCATGAAGTCCCATCAATGTGACGAACTTTCAGCAACAGCGCCTGCTTCCTCCCAAGCTGCGCCTGGCTCCACAGAAGCTGTGCGGCGTACCACAGTACCTGAGGTTCTATGTACGACCTGGCCTATACTACTTATAAGTTATAAATCACTTTCTAATGCAAATGCACGAGACGGGTATCTCTGTGGTGGATAGAAATAGGACTGCGTCAAGTAAAGCGATTTGGTTTGCTGGCCTAGGTACCTTACAAAACAAATGCCCCGCTTTCCTTGCCACTTGATTTTTTGTGATATATTTGAAGACGTATGCCTATGGCATATTGCTCAGCCTAGTGAGATTTTTGGCAGAGTGGATTTACTTTTGCTACAGAAGAAATGGCAACATAATAATTATTGAGTAAAGATAAGTTTAGGCTAAGATGTTCTTATAAGTATATAATCATTTTTGTATAAAACCTCGAAGTACTTTAATAAATATTGTGCACTCTGCACCTAAAGCAAGCTAAGTTTATTTGTTGTAGAAGGGTGGAACAAAAAAATAATTAAAGTTAAATAAATCTTATGACTCTTATGTACTTACATAAGTATAGATATATGTATATATGAATGCAGACCTGGATATATTCAAATTCATACATAAAATTCGGCTTAATGGTAATTCTAACAGCAACTTTTGCCACAGGAACCAATAAAATGTAATGCCAAGGGGGCAGTTGCAGCGTAATGGTAGCTAATAGCTAGATAAACAAGGAATCAACAGCTTTCAAATGGGTAGCCTGATTGAACAATAAAGTAGTTGAAAGTTTACAGTCATGAGGTGTGCAAGCTTCTGTCTCTGGTGCTGCTGCATTCTGATGCTGGTGGATGGCCAACTAAAGCCCATTGTGGAAGCTGAAGAGGATAATGGAATACTTATTTCGATTATTGCAGAGGTGGATCGATTTGCGCTACCCAAGAACTTTATCACGTACTCAGCACACCAGGAGCGGAGCTTAGGAGCGTTGCAGCAATCGTTAATGAAAATATTTTACCGCCCGGTGATTGTGGCCGGACCCGAGATAGGGAAACTTCATAAAATCATTACTGATCAGAATTTGATATTGGTTTTCTTAAATGAACCTCATGATCCCCTGCTAAGAAGTGTTGAACAATCCTTGACAAGCATCAAGGATGTGTCTACTATATTTGTGTACAAGGTCAAGGATAATGTGCAACCCAAATCTTTTGCGGAATTTCTCTTCAACTGGTGCGTGGACAAAGGCATTTATAATGTTTTGCTGTTGGTAAAGCTGAACAACACTTTTGAAATCTGGACATATCTATATCATTCAGATATAAAGACAGTTATATTACCGCTTAAAGACTTAAAGTCAATGCGACCACAAGATTATCGTAAACATGCAGACTTGGGACAGCACCGATTCTTAGTCGCATTTCACGTGAAATTATCGGAAACATTTCTGGTAAGTCTGATGAACTTATATATATATTGGTACACCAATGTCAAAGATTTTCCTATTTGCAGTACAAAACTCGCGATGGCCGTGTGACATTGGGCGGTCAGATTGGGCTTATGTTGCAGGAGTTAATGCACTATATGAACGGGACAATGGATTTTTTGACCCTTTCATTCAATGAATATCAGAAAGTAATGAACGGGGGCTCGATAGATGATCGCCCTATTGATATTGTAGCCAATTTGGAGCCATATTCATTTGTGGATCCACGTTTTTCGTTTTTTATGTCACGAATTTGCCTGATTCTGCCTTATAGACGTATGGTTCCCTTGCAAAGCTATATTTCATATTTCGACAGGCGAAAGACATTATTCACATTCATGATATTTAATTTCATCGTCTTCATTGCGATCAAGCGCATTGCCAATCCCCGCCAGCCGCTGACCGAGGTGCTCTTTGGAAATTTCCGGCTCCTAGTTTCACAAGCTTTGTCGACACGAATGTTTCGCACCCTGACTCTCGCAGAAAGGATTTTAGAAGTCACCACGCACATCTACAACTTGGTAACATTCAGCATATTCATCAGCGTTCTGACAATGGCTCTTGTCACAGGCCTGCAAATGCCCGATATCGTCGACGATGAAACCTTTTTGGCCAGTGGACTCCGCATCATGGTATATTCAGAGCAGATGGATAACCTCTTCAATGACATTCCGCTGAGTCTACGAAATCGCTTAATTGTGGTTGACAAAAATACGTCGATCGAACATGTGCACAACCTGAACGATTCTTACGCCTATGTGATGATGTCGCACACGTGGCTTGGCTTCAAGTTAAAGCAAAATAGTCTGCGCCTTCCTAAGTTGATATCGGGTCCCGACAAATTGTGCGGCGTTCCGCGTTATATAAGGATCCACGTACAGCCAGGCGTATTCCATTTGAAGCCAATGAAACACTTCTTAAGCCAAGCATTCGAGGCGGGTCTAACTAAGAAATGGAAGCACACGGGATTTGGTCAAGCAGAGGAAATGGGCCTCGTTAGATTAGCTCCCCATGATCTGCCGAGCGTTTATCCACTGCCCATGGACTTCTTCATCCACGCCTTTTTGATATATGCTTTTGGCAACTTTACGGGCATTGTAGTTTTTTTGATAGAGTGGCTGTACTTTCGCTGGAATCATATTCGCAATAATCATATTGTAGTTTAGGTATTAGATTGTTTAGCTAATATAAATAATCATTTTCTTTAACACCTTTAAGCACTTCAATAAATATTGCACGTGTTGCGCACTCTAAGAAAAATGAATACGGTTTTGTAATTGTTTGTTTTTACATTTAAAACAAAAGTCTGGTAAACTGTGAATGAATCGTATGCTTATCAGAAAATCTTATAGACAGATGTGTGCTATACAAAATCCGAATATGGTCTCATAATAAGCACAGAGGTAATATTTTGTCTACTTTTCATATTTTTATCTAAAAATTTTAATTGCGAATTTCTTTAGGTTTATGATTATTATATTAGTCATGTTTATCTGGAGCTAAACCACTAATTTATACTCTCAATACCCCAGTTTTTTTTTATTTTTAAATTTTATTTTGCCCTATTTTAGTTAGCATTAATATATCTGAGATAGATCATATGTATTAATGCTATTGTGAGTGAGACTCTAAATTATGGACTCAGCTAGACGATGAGCATGATATAGTAATTGTCTCTGTATATTCATATATCAGATTTTCAAAGTGTACCGACAACACGTAAATGTCTATACTTTAAAGCCTATCAGCTAGATGTTAGACTTTTCGTATAAGCCCCACTCTAAGATCTATCTGAATAGACGTTTAATTAGTCTGTTTTATTTACTTTTGGTTTATTGTTCGGGTGTATGCATCGATAAATCCTTGTCTTATTTCAGCAGCTTGGCATAATGTTCTTTGTGAATGAACTTATAGCGCCAGACGAAGCTGTGAATTAAATTGGGAATTAGTTAAAGTTGAAGCCATGCGAATCTGTGACTCACCCGATTGCAATAAACGCCACCAAGAATAGCGCTGCGCTGACGAAATTGAAGAGGCCAGGGTAGATAGACAGCGAGTGCTGATAGATTAGTGTGTACAGCGGTGCAGCGACTATTAAACGGAAATTATATCAATGTAAAGTCCGTTAGATGTGCAGGTGAGACGCTCTTACCAAAAGGTGCAAAGGATTGGAAAACATTTTTGATGGAGAAAATTTTACCTGCAAGTTGGGGATGATATTGATTATTAGAGCAAATATTGAATGGATTGTGGACTTGCCCAAATCGGAGGCGGGTACTATATTCGAGACGATGGTCCTGCACATGGGCCCGCCAATGGAACGGAAGATGCCAAGGGCAATCGATAGATACATGTGCCAGGGCAGCATGGCGAAGCCCTTGGTCAGATTGCTCAGTATTTCCGAGCCGAGCGAGAGCAGCGCCAGGGTCACCACGGACAGGCCAAAGACCTTGAGGTCATCAAATACATATATTTACACAGCTGACACACTGAGCAACTCATGCACCTACCTTGCGCAGCATCAGGAATCCAATCAGAGCGCCCAGCATGGGCACAACTTGGCTGATGGTCTCAAAGAATGTGAACTCGCGCACAGACCAGTGAAACTTTTGGCGCACAAACAAGTACATGACGGTCATGGCACCATCTAAATGACAATTTGATACGAGCATTGAGAATTTCTGCAGCTGTACAGCTGTCCGGCTTAGGAAAACTCACCAACAACGAACATGGACATAAACATGGTCAACGTAACCAGCCAAATGATTTCGCGTGCATGATGCTCACGCGGCTTGCAGCACGTCTTGAACATCTCCTTAATGTGCGTTACGCTGAACAGACCCACGTTTTGGGGCTCGGGCTCAGATTTCATCTCGGACTTTTGCGAGTCCGTGGGTTTCGGCTCCTTCTTATCATCCAAATGTATTTCGGTGGTACACAGCTCGCTCGCGGAGCTCTCCTTCTTGTTCTCATTTGCTTTCAGACCAAATAAAACAATATTCTTACTATCTAGCTCCGATTCAGGCTTTGAATCGGATTGTTTTGCTGTGGGATCTGCATCTTTGTCGAGCTCTTTCTTTGCATCATTGGTGCTGACTGCAGTCAGTTGGGTATCACAGACAATATTGGGTAAGTCCTTTTCGGCTTTGTCGGCTTTCTCAGCTTCCTGTTTGGCATCTTTTTCGAGGCGTATGTGCAAGCTCTCTGGCAAATAGAAGATGATAAATAGAGTGGCAAACACGATAATTGCCGCTGAGATGCCCTGGGTAATAGAGGCGCTTGTGGCCTCATACACATAGCTGGACAACAAAGAGCCACTGCTGAGCGCTACAAACACCAGAAACTCTATGGCAATCATTCTATAGGGGGGGGCGAGAAGCAAAGAGCTTTAGAATTCACAAGCTAAGGAGATGTGATTGAACTTGATTATGGAAAATATCTCAATACACTTAAAATGTAAATCAAAATTTCTCCGAGTGTATGCGCACCTGTAGGGCCGGTTCTTAACGTTGGTGATGTCCGACAGAAAACAAAAGGCAGCCACTGAAAAGACACACATGCCGCCCAGCAGGGAGTGCGGCACTGCGGCCAACGTATACCGCCAGGGATTAATGTCATGATGGCTGGATAGCGCACATATGAAGGTATTTATCAGAGCAGAGCCAGCGAAGCCTGCAAGGGTATTAAAGGCTTAGAATTGAGAAATCTCAAGCTCTGTGCATTGCCAACCAATCATAGAGACGATGAGCAGAGGCTTGCGTCCATAGTGATCCGACCAGGAGCCAATGAACAGGCCGCACACGGCTGGCACAATGCTCTCCATTAGAGTGCGCGTGAGGAACATGTCGGCCACGTAGGACTGTATCTCCGTTTCAATGGCCTGGAATCCTAATGGTATTTGAATAATTACGCATGGCTAGATTAGTTCTGATGCACATACATGGATCTCGGGGCTGGCCTCCTTGTCGTCCAGGTGGCTGCAGTCGGACTCGTTGTAATGGAAAATCACTCTGCATGTCTGATATATAATCTGATTGCGCATTACAACGCCTGCGGAATGTAAATAATTATAAGTATGAAGAATAAAGAGTTATGTATGGCATGTTTGCTTACCTGAGAGCATGTGCGAGAAGATGAGCATGACTATAACTGGCTCTATATAGAACATATAGAAGAGATCGCGCCATGGCAGACTTCTCAGCTTGTCTACGGCTGCACCAATTACATTTTTTTCCACCATTGCATTTATTTCTTATGCAATCGACTCGAGGGAGAATATTTCTAGCTTTACTTGAAATATATTAAATGATATTGAAATATTCACTCAGTCATTTGGCACAAATTTCATATAATTATTTCGATTTGCTTTCCCAGAGAAAGTTTCTATTTTAAATTGCAAATTTATCTATAATCATATGTCCGACACGCTCTTTGCACACATTCGATGTACGATAGATGCCTGCTAGACCCAAACTATTCACTGGGTCAACACGAAACCGGTTAGATCGCGTTGAGTTTTTGAACTGAGCTGGTGCCAGTCAGAGTCAGAGCTAATATAGAATGAAACCGGCTGTTAGATCGGTTTTAGGGGAACTTTTCTGAACAAACAGAGTTGAGCTCGAGCACGCTACTGCCCATTGGCATGAGCCGTGATGATGGCGCAAGTAATCAAAATAATCTGATATTCACAATCGGAATAACATACAATTTAAGTGATTTTTTGTTGTTGTTGTATATATTTAATTGTCAAACTGTGCGAAAACAACAGCAATTTTAATGAATGTCTATGGTCGAATCGTTCTCTTTGCCCTTCTAAAGGCAGGCATGTGTCAAATTGTCAATGCTAATAAATAATATGTATATTTTATTCTTATTCATTTCTGTTATATACACATTTTTCAATATATATTTTGTTTTATTTGTATACAAGCAATTATTTTATAATACATTTGGCATTTAAATTATATGTTGAATATTTAATGGCACGAAGAGAGTATGAATATTTACCGCGATTTATCATAAACGTGTAAAAAAGCATCGCTAATTTGGAATCTTCACAGAATATACAAATATACTCGTTCTTCTCACTTCAGCCGAAAGGTTCGGCCATTTCGAATGCTCAGTTACCTTTAGACTTCTAGATGTGCCGTTTCTTTGCTTTTCTCGTATTCCAAACTGTATCAAATTCAGAAAATTAATAAAATGTTTTTAATTAAAATCCATTTATGTTTGTTCATTTTTTCCCAGAGAATTTTAATTATATTTGGGCTCTGCTTTTGTGCATGCATATCTAAGATATTTACTTTTTGAATAATTTTTACACCTATTCCAGAGAATTGCGTCAATTAGCATGTTTTGCTTTTGTATAAGCAGCTGGTTCACTTGGTCAATAGATGAGCAATAGCAATATGAACAAGCCTAAACAAAAACAGTGTGAAAACCTTCTTCATGGCAATCGAAAATTCGTGGAATTGAGCTCAATGAAGGTTGTTTCAAGCGGTTCTTCAAATGACTGCAAATACAGACATTCGACAGGAAGTTGACCTCAAAGTGAATTTCTGCAATATTAAATTGATCAAATAGAAAGGAAAACTCAGGAGCTTTTACCACAATATGCCGTTGCATAATTGGTTAAAATGAAGTAAAATTCTTCAGGTAAAATGGAATGCAAACTTTGACCAGCTGTTAGCTGCCTTTTGAGCTCTTCGTTTCAGTACCTATGCAAGCTGTTGCTTTGCATTGCGACGGCAACCGCAACTGCCACGCCTCAAAGTCAGTGAAGGTGCTGCATAAAATATGCATAAGGAATTGCAGATATTATTTTCAAGCTGCTTTAATTGGCACTTTTGTTGCTACGGGCGAGAAATTGAAAGCCACCATTTTTTTTTTTTTAGGTTTTGAGGTTTTGGATTTTGTGGCATCAATGAAAATATCAAGCGCTGCTCTTTGCAGTTGCAATAAACGGCTTTGCATGGCTGACTTAATAGCCAGCTCGTGTCGCAGCTGAGTGCATATTACGTATACGCAACGTATTCGCTTCCACATTTGTTGACAAGCCATTTTGTAAAGTCTTCCGCACAATTTTCTGCACATTGTGGGCCATCTAATGAAAGAGGCTAGCGACTCTTTCCGGCATTTAGGCAAACCAAGCAAAAACATGCTGCAT